GACACCACCGCCTGTCGAGCTTCCACGGACCGCTTACTCGCACTTGCTGAATGGAGTACTATGCTTCATGTCGTCTTTACATTTTTGCATGAGTGTATCGGGTGTTGTCTATTTGAAATCCATCCCAGGACCTATAAAGCTCTTGATCCGAACAAGCAGATCGTGAGCTCTCTGACCTTCACTATTGGGAAGACTTGATAAAATGTGCATGTCTGATTGTAGATAGGGTACAGGCCTTGCAAAGGAGAATAGGGAGCTCTCTTGTCGACTTGAGAGGAAAGAAAGGGCTCATTGACTCAAAAGTCAAAAAGATAAAATATTTAGACACAATGGGGACGTGACCAATGGACGCAGAATGCTTTTTTGGTCTGCTACGACTTATTCTCATTAACGAGGGTTATGGAATCATACTGCAACTAACATTCTCAAGATCCTGCGGCCCCTTGACGAAGTAAATCGTCTGTAGACAGCTTTTTCCATCTTTCGATTGGGCCCCAAATGCCTACATTTCCCTCCGGGACGACGCGGGGGGGGAGGTTCAAAGAAAGACAACAGCGTCCATGATTACAGTTGTTGTTTTCTGGTGAACCAGCATTACATCTTTGTATCCTTGTCTTTAATTAGCCATAGATTATCTGGAGTGCAAGCATCCCACAAGGCTCGGTGCAATGCATTTTTGTCATTAAAAAACCAACCTCGGAAAGTAACGGCCAGGTCGAAGCCCGTGGCCGGTCTCGCGGTAGGGTACAGTACTCGTCGCACACACGAACGACGCCGGGGGTGGCGGCTTTTGCACTGAATCGTCTCATATATTGTCCTGTGAGGCAGCGGGAATGTCTGCTGCCTTGTTATCTATCTCAAGTGGTCTCTATCGGCAGCGGTGTCTAAGTATCTAGGGCTGAGAGCTTTCACACCGGACGCATCGTCAAGCCCTAATACTGGGCTGCAATGATCATCCATCGAGCATACATGTGATCTGTTTATTGATTACTGCGGACATTCAACCCATCTCCTTTATTTCTTAGCGCCGAGGCATGTCAGATGATGTCCGAGTCCGCAAGCTCCAGCCTATCTACAATGCGCTTGATGCGCGGAATTACAAGATGGCCATCAAACTCTGCGGTAAAAAAGACATGGAGCGATGGGACATCGTCAAAACCCTCAAAGCTCATGCCTTGGAGAGGATGGGAATTTGTTTACGTAACT